AGTTGAAGCATTTTGCCTCTCGGGGTGGATTTGTATTTTGTGTGTTTGGCTGAAGGAGGGGATTTCTGTGTGCGAGGTATTGTTCCCTTCAGTCCCGTGTGGTCAAGAGGATTCAGGGATTTTGAGATTTGCTTTGTAGAATTCATTTCTTTGGAAGTGTTTTAAAATGAGTGGAATTGCAGCAGTTTAACAAAACAAGCTCGGTAACCACACTCCCGTTTGCTCATGTTTTATTAAGCAGCAAAAAAAAAAAACGAATAAAAAAAAAAACCTGTGGGAGTACTTCCAGCCTGCATCTGATTCTTGCTGCACTCTGTTGGAAACAATCCTTGCAGGATCCTGTTTGGCCGTCTAATAGGATTGTTGTTGGAGTCTGGGGGCTTTAGTGCAACCCCAAAAGCTGTCTGGTTGCTGTCTGCATTCAAAAAACACGATCCAACCGTTTTGGTTTTATACTGATCTTGTTTGATCAACGGGCTATGTGACAAGCATCCCCCTGCTCCTGACATTATTGTAGCCGAGTGATCTACAGCGAAGCAGCTTTGCTAGAGAGAAAAACGCAGCCAAAGTAAAAATAGACTGTGGGAAACAGATAAGGGCAGCAAGAGACGGAGCCGTCCCTTTTTTGCCAGTGGTTAAGTTGATGTCCGAGCCACAGTGAAGCACAGATATGACACCCAGCTCTTGTCACATGGAGTAACCTCTACCCTCCCCTGGACTAAACACTGTGGAGAGGACTTGTTGTTGACTCCGCAGGGACCGACCTAGTTCCCTCTCACAGCTAAAGGTCACATGTCTTGTGGCTCGGGGCTGATTGTGTGTGTAGACTTCACTTCAAACACAAACAATGAACTTGAGGATGTAACAGTAAGACATCAACACCTACAGTGACCAAAGGAGGGAGCAGAGAAAAGAACAATAATCCTCTTTTTTTTCTTCTTCTTCTTACATGTGTTGTTCTTGAATCAGTTCCAATCCAAACTCCTATTATCTGAAATAAAAACTTTTCCAGTTTTGACAAACGCTGACAGCACTCGGGCTGTTGAAAATCGTCCCCTGAGCCTCAGTGGTGGTGGATGTGGTCAGCAGAGGCGGCAGCTGGTGCTCCTATTAGGCAGTATTAGCTCAGCGCCCTCAACCGCAGCCACAAACTTATCTGCCGCACTCATTTGCAATGGAAAAAGTAAAGCCGATTGGGGCCTGTCTGCCGGCCGAGGATGACGAGGCCGGAGGAGAGAAGCCTGGCAAGCTCTGTCGTCACCCACTGTGACGGCTTTACTGCTCTGTGTTTACATTAATATACAGTAACATCATGTGTGGACTCTTGCAGACAGGCAGCAGGATATTTATAAAGCTTCTGTATTCCTCACGACTACATGATTGCTTTTATGTTGTCTATTATCTTATTTATCTTTTTTTTTT